GGGGAGGGGAGGGGGAGCGGGGCGGGGCGGGCCGGGAGGCGCGCACCCGGCGCCCGGCGGCGGCGGGGGGAGGGAACCCTAGCGGAGCGGGGGAGCGGGGGGAGCCTCCGGATCAGCTTTCTGTATTCACCACAATCATTCTGTACTCTGTTGGAATCAAAAGCAAAAATAAGCTTGATCTTGAACAAAAATTTTACAACGACGCATATCTCACAGAGCTCTGTTCAACAATATTAGAAATTCATTAGCTCTACCTGAAGGCACAGACCAAACGCCAGAACCACAAATGAAATGGCTGTATAAAAATGAACTCAAAGAGTGAGAAAATTTGAACAAACTATCGCACAGTAAGGATAAAGATAGGTTGCATAAGCCCCATTTTAACTGCTGTAAAAGAACATTGTCAGGTCTTGTTACATCAAAATATGGCTGTACCGGTGGCTTTGATGTGGTTGTAAAGCTTTACCTGCAAAACTAAATATGGATATAAGTTCAGCGATCATATAGAAATAGGTCAGTGTTACCCATAATCGCAAATTGGGCAAAATATACTTCAGTTTTCTAGCAGGACAGTAAGAGTACATTTTATTTAAATTCAATAGATAAGCATGACAATGACAGTGTCGATATGTTTTCTAGCAGGACAGTAAGATCATAAATGATTCCAGCAATGTCGTTTGCTAACTCCCAGAACCGCATGTCACTATATGTAACATGTAGGTTACAAAAGAGTAGTATGTACTGCTAAAAAAAGAGTAGTATGTAATAAGCTTACAATCAAGGAATAGAAAATAATAGATACTTTTCAACCAGAGTCCCCTTAAAATTTGAAGGGCAAATATTATTCAATTACTAAGGAGTGAATTTTCTTTATGGAAGTACAGTCACAGTCAGGAATCCTTGCAAAGTAACTTATATTACCCCCGGGAAGGAAAACCGTGAGAATTTCATCAGTTGATCATTTCATCTAAATTATTTGCCATACATCCCTCGGCAACGAATGTCTAGGAATTCAATCAAGAACGTAGCAAGCATAAAATTGTTAGCGTGGAAGGATGATAAGGGAGGCAGTCAGGCATGACAGGACATGGTGGGGATATAAAATGGAATTAGAAGGCAAACAGTACATTCATGAAACTCATATTGTTGCGAGCGCTCTGTTCATAAGACCTCAATTCCTCGATGTGATGTCTTCATGCCAATCATCTTGCAGATCTGGAGGAGGCAAAGTGTGTGCCTGTATCTGCATGAAGTTCAACAATTCCTCCAGATCAATTTTCTTGAGATCATGCCCAGATGCCCTTGCCCCGCAGGCCGCCACCGCCGCCGGTTCTATCTCCGATGGTGGCCGCAAATCGTAGAGGAGGCTGGATTCTGTTGTGTCGGTCGCCACGTGGCGTTTGTGATGTTTGGGGAGAGGGAGAGGGAGATGGGGGGATGGGGGACAGGGGGCCAGCTTTATGAGGGGGACTCGCAGACGTTTCGATTAGGGCATGGCCAATGCTCCAGCCTGGACAGGCGCCTCACGACCTCCACGTCGGAGAAGAGCCATCGTGTGCAAGTCTGAGGGAAAAGATAGCAGCTTGCAGAGGCAAGTGGGATCCTGCAGAAGAAGCGGTCTCTCCACAGGAAAAGAGTGGTCCTCGCAGGAAAAGGACGAGAGAGAAAGAGAGTGTAGGTGCCTAATTTCTCCCGTTTGAAGCTTTCTTATCTTAGCAGGTGGATCACAGAGGCTACCACCTAACATCAGCTGCGTTGGGCGAATATTTCGTGTGTTGTAGCCTGAGCAAATGTGGCACTTCGGACCACCACTAGGTGATGCCTCCATTGTACATGCCCTTAGCGAAACATACGCTTCCGCTTCCGCAGGTCGAGGAAGGAGGAGCAAACGAAAAAGGCGTGGAGCGGACACGGGGACGGAGGGTCAACTCTTTCTGCAGATCTGAGCCACATATGTTCAATCAAACGGCTGAAAACATTTAGGATGATGTGGACGCACGAGGAGACAGAAAAATCAGATAGTGGGGGTTCCTATTTAGATATAGAAGATAGAAGATAGGCCAAGGGGAAACCCAAGGTTTTAAATAGCATGCTATAGCGTTAAGAATAGATCCTGCGATAAGGGTCTTTTGTTCAAACAAATGAGTAAACATTTTAAATAGCTTGCTATAGCACGCTATAGTATTTAGAAAAAGTCTGATGCTAGGAGGCTTAGTGCGCTATTTAAAACTTTGAATCCCAGGAAAACCCCTTTTCTTCAAAGAAAAAACTCAATTTTATATTTATGTAAAGACAGCTTTGCGACTGATGCATAAATTTCATCAACTCAAGGTAAAAGCAGGCAACAGCACACAGACTCACCATGGTAATCAAAAGAAGAAATTAAGCGACGCAATCAAATTTTTTTTTTTTGCGAATCAACGTAATCAAAATGTTACCGCAGTCCGATTCCGCCATGATATCCTCTCCTGGCTGGCTGGATATGAGCAAGATCGAACTTCACCGGAACAGATCTTCAGACAATGGAAGGGGGTGGTCTCGTCGGAGGGCGGCGTGCGTGGCCGCGGGGTTCGCAACGGCGGCACGAGTAAATGGGAACTTCACCGGAACCGAACGGCGGCCAAGGATATGCGAGGCCTGGTTGAGTGAGGCCCGAAATGACACACCCGGACAGATGGGCCATCGGGCATCCCGGCGCTAATGGGATGGCCTGGCCCGTTCGGTTGGCAGTAATGGGCCGTAGGGCATCCCGGCAGGCACCCGTGCTCTGCCGCCCAAAACCCACCCAGGTCCGCGGTGCTTTCCCGGAGGCGACCATGGCGGCGGCGGCGGCGGCGGGAAGTGATTTGGTGGTGGTTTGCCTGCCTTCTCCCTCGGAGGAGGACCCCCTGCACCATGATAAGAAGGTTCCCTCGACATCCCATATACTCGTATCGAATTTTCTTCTTCTTTTCCTCTGTAGGTCGTGGCTAGTTCAGTAACAAATTACGACCCCGGGAGCAGGACAAAATCAAAGGGCTTCTTTGACCTGCGTTAATTTTCTAGATATACATGAACTACTTATACAGGTGGATTAATGAAGTGTGGACTTGCGGCTCATAGTTTATTTAATTGGGCAAAATGTTGTAAATTTCTGTATGTATGCGTGCCTCTGTCTCTGCGGTGACGATACTGCAATGTTGGCGAGCAATGGGAGTTTTCCTGTGGTGTTGGGATGTCAATCAATATTTGATAAATAAGTTAGGATGCATTTCTTTCTTCATTTTTGAGTTTTCATAAGTTTGGATTTGAGGTTTTAATTTTCATGTCAAACCTCTCTGTTTATATTCCATTTTTGTCTGTTTATAACCGTGCAAGTGCAAGTCCCTTGTGAGTTTGGATCTCTTTTTTTGTTTGAGCGATCTCAGTGTGGTCGGTCAGCTTGAATATTTTTCACCAAATCCATCTTTTCTACAAATGCAGAAATTATTGGAGGCTAGGAAACTATCCTGTTCATTTCAAGTCCCAATCTCTTCCTCCCCTGTTGACGCCTGCAAATTGCTTGACCAGATGATCCATGCTGCTAGGGTAGCTCATATGGATGAGGTAATTACATGTTGAGTTGCTTAATTCTGGTTATTGGCTTGCCGACATAACAACAACTAAAGGCACTTGAGCTTTTTTATTTGTTCTAACTTCTAACTTGCTTCTTACCAATTTGGTTGTGTTGATTTACTGCAGCTGGAGCTTTATTTTGCTAGGGGTGATGATTATGGCCCATTCTCTGCACGGAATGAACTTGAGTCCCTGAATCTGCTTCTCAAAACCGTCAACACATTGCTTGTAGCTGCCAATGATGGCACCAAGGGAGTATTGCAATTACTAGTGGATGAGATACTTGTTAGGCTCAGATCTGTGGGATTGACAGATAAGCATCAGATGGCACTTCAAACAGAGAACCATGAAACTGAGGATTCTCTTCTTAAATGGGGGGAGCAGCATGGTGTCAAAAGTAAACTGCAGATAGCATGTAAGTCTCCATAATTCTTCATTCCGTAATAATCTGGATCATGAACCCATTGAAAATTGAGAAGCTATCTAAGAATTTTCCACAAGAAAGTCTGGATGCTGTTCTTTCTGTATATAATTAATAAATTTTTATCTTTATATTAATCTTGTGACCATGAGGTAAAGCTGCTGCCTTGTGACCATGAGGTCACGGGTTCAAGTCCTGGAAACAGCCTCTTACAGAAATGTAGGGAAATGTTGCGTACAATGGACCCAAAGTGGTCGGACTCTTCCCCGGACCCTGCGCAAGTGGGAGCTACATGCACCAGGCTGTCCTTTTTATATTAATATTGTATTCATAAATTACAATTTCTTATAAAGCCAAAAAGAGATGACAATGTTTAGGTTAATAGAAACTTACTACAGTTTCATAAACAACCATATAATTCCAGTCAAAAAAACAACAACCATATAATTGAGTTATAAGAATTAATGGATGTCACTGAAATGCTACATATAAGTTTGTGGTGCTTATTATACTAGAATTCAATGTTCATAGATTTGTTTGCCAGAATTCAGTTCTCCTAGCTGATTTATTTGCTCAATGTGACCTCCCTTGAATGAACAACCTATTGCTATGTTGATAGATTTCAGTGTTATACTGTTTCTTAACTGATTCTGGATATCTTAGTTTTTGAAGGAGCTGGGAGAGGAATGCTAGCTTCTGAAGATATAGGTGTGGGTGACATTGCTCTTGAAATTCCAGAGTCCCTTATCATATCTGAGGAACTTCTCTGCCAGTCTGATATGGTATGTTCATCATTAATCTCATGTCCACATTCCCTAAAACACCCACAGTTCCTCATTTGTGACAGCAAAAGCTCTGACTAGCTACCATGGAACCCTCTAGATTATTTCTTGATGTCTTGCTGCAGTTGGATGTTCAGCATGAAATGAATCTGGTTCTAATTAAAATTAATACATTTGCTTGGCATATTTATCAAGTGAAATCTGAAGATTGTTTGTCCATTGCCGCCAAAATTTGCTTTTTTGAGTTGATTTTCATTGCCTGAGTGTTTGAGTTCCTGGTTGTTCAATTATGAAGATTTTGCTATCTTTGTAGTTTCTTGCGTTGAAAGATGTGAATAGCATCACCACTGAAACTATGCTATTATTGTGGAGCATGAGAGAGCGGCATAATTCATCTTCAAAGTTTAAGATGTTCTTTGAGACACTTCCGTCAAATTTCAATACAGGTATTAGTAGTTAATTCTCATCCGTAAAGCGACTCCACACTTGTATACCGTGGGAGGCTAGGAGGCTGAAGTTTAAGGTTGTGCTAAGTTAAGAAATTATTTTATCATGTGCATCTACAGGCTTGAGTTTCGGAATTGATGCACTTGCTTCACTAGAAGGCACCCTGCTTTTTGATGAGTTAATGCAAGCTAGGCAGGTAATACCCTTGTGAATTGCTTTGTTAATTCTATGGGCTACTGTTCAGCTGGTAATGGTATGAAGCAATTTTTTGTTCTTTATTTCAGCATTTGCGCCAGCAGTACGATGAGTTATTTCCAGTGCTATCCACCAAGTTTCCCGAGATATTCAAACAAGACATATTCTCGTGGGACAATTTTCTGTGGGCATGTGAATTATGGTATTCTAACAGTATGATGGTTGTTTTAAGTAGCAGGAAATTAACAACTTGCTTGATTCCTGTTGCTGGACTGATGAACCACTCGGTTTGTAACTTTGTCCCTGAATTGGTTTGAAAGTTTTCTTTTATTTGTCTTCGAGTGACTTGTCATGTTTTATGCAGGTGACTCCACACATTCTTAACTATGGCCGAGTAGATCAAGCTACAAAGTCTTTGAAGTTCCCTTTGTCGAGACCTTGTGAAGCAGGGGCCCAATGTTTCCTCAGTTATGGGAAACATCCAGGGTCACATCTAATTACCTTCTATGGTTTCCTACCAAGAGAAGACAACCCTTACGATGTTATACCTTTGGGTAAGGTTTTGCCTAAGCATCATTTCTTAGATATATAGGCGGATCTGTAGATAGAGAGGTTGTAACTGCTTTCTCTTTGCCAATGTTATGATGGTTTCCCTGGATCTGTGACACTAATGACTAATTTATTTGACTTAAGTTGCTTAGCCTAGTGATCTTAACTTACTTTGGAAACACTACGGGACTTTGAATGCTTAGGGACTAGCCACAATTTAATAGGCTCTGCTGCATTTTGGGCACTTTTTCCTTATCTGGGACTGAAAGTAAGTAAATATGCACAAGATTATATTACCGATGTTGAACTATGTGCAGATCTGGACACGTCTGTTCACGAGGAGGATGGCACCGCCCAGTCTGTGAGTACAAGTGTAACCACTCATATGGTTCGTGGGACATGGCTGTGCAGATCACAAGGACCTCCCACATATGGCCTGCCTCCGCCCTTGTTGTCTCATCTCCGTGCTGCTCTAAACTGTGAGCACAGCGAATCTACACCAGAGGCTGATGTAAGCATCTGTTTTCGGTTTCCTGAATGATGCGTGAAGCATGCCATGCACTTGACAAATAACTGAGAGTGAGACCTTTCCTTTTCTGTTCTCAGATCAAGGAAGATGACAGGATGGTGCTGGAAACACTCATTAGCATATTTACACCGATGCTTGAAGGGTTAGGCGAGGCAGACGACTACAACCGGTGCCACTTCATCGTGCTTAAACAGCCATATTTTGGACTCCCTCTGTAAACTTATATAAGATCTTTTAGATCAGTTATCTGAAAGATCTTATATTAGTTTACAGAGCGGGTATCTCCTTTTGTACTGGACATTAGCTTACGATTTATTTGGTTTGTTGCAGGGAGAGTGCGAGTTGGGATGTTGTGCTAGCGCTGGACTACAAGGATCTTCAGAGAAGGATAATTTCGTCCATTGTTACTTCTTGTGGCTCTGGATTGGCAATGCTTGATTCCTAGCTGGAAGCGTTTCTTTCACTGACTAAATAAGCGAAGGCCACACTGGAACCAGATGTAGGTTGGGAATCCCTTCCTTTAGCTGACATGCGGATGGCGGTGAAGCTGTTGCACATAGGAAGTACTTAGTTGCAGGCAATTTACCCTGGTGGATCAGGATCCAAGGACTGGCACGCAAGACACATGAGCCTCATTACTAACTGAAGATGCTCCAGTTTAGGCATCAGTTTGATCCAGCAATCACGTGAGTGAATTTCAGGCATCAGTTTGTGGCTTGAAATTCAGGCTGGCTGCTCCAGATTGTTTAATTCGAACTTTATTTTGCTAGAAGAAAGCTACCTTTATCGTGACGGAGCGATGTTGCTGATCTATAAAGCTGACTGTTGAACTTGTTGATCAGAATGCTGCCTTATTTTTGACCTGGATATGGGTTATGCTAAATTGGTTCATACTAGTTCAGAGGTGGTACACCGATAGCTAACTGACACTGAATATATGTTTGTCGAACTGACCTCTCGACATTCCACCCCATGATCCAAACTCCAAACCAAACACCCAAACACGCTCTTAAACCTACAACCACAAAGCAGCATAACACGGCACGCTTGTCGGAGAGACAGTGGCACGCACCGGAGATATAACATCGGCAGCGAGAGCGTCGTCAACGGAGGCGGCCTGCAGATCATCTGCACCTCACGGTGCAGCAATGACGGCTAGGGAGGCGTGCGTCCTTGATCGCGCCGTTCACTCCTTAGCAGCGGAGTATGGAGAGAAGCGCGCGCGAGACGCTTGCTGCACTATGAGGTGTCAATGTCTGTGTTTCGCAAAAGAAAAAAAAAATAACTGAATCTCTATATTTTTGCGTACTCTTTTTTTTAGATGTACATATTTTTGTGTACTCCTTGCAACGAAGATTTCCTCGTAAAAGAAAGAACCTTTCCATAAATCTTTCCCTACTAATAAAGCACGGAGTGCTTCTGCTCGTACGTCGTCGTCACTTTTGCAAAAAAGCCCCTCTATTTTCAAGAATTCAACCCGCAGTCCCTGTTTAAGTGGATCGGGGAAAACGATTCGTTTTTGCACAAAACACCCTGTCGTTTGGATTATTCAACCCGCAGTCCGAGCAAATTTGGGTAAAGAAAAAAACACGACCAAAGGAGGAGAACGGGCTCGCCTCCTCTCCCTCTCGCTCAAGTCCTCGCCGCCGCCGCCACCACCCACGCCGGCAGCTTCCGGCGAGCTCCGACGCCGCGCAGCACGCCCCCCAACTCCCCAGAGTCCGCTCCTCCCTACCCTCCGGCCAGATTCTCCGCTCCCGGCCTCTACCGCCCGCTCGAAACGCCACCCCCATGGCTAGGGTTTCGGGCAGGGCTTCGCCGGCGCGTCTCCGGCGGCCCAGGTTCGTCCCTCCTTCCTTCTTGGCTGGGATCCACCACCCCTACACCTCACATTCTCTTCATGTCCTCTGCTGCAGATGCAGATGGAGCACGCCATGGGAATTCCCCATCCACCATGGTCGCCGCCATCAAGGGCTTCTTCACGGAGATGTGGAGGACGCCATGGACCTGCAGCTCCACACATCCCCTCCCCTCCCCTTCCCGTCCCTTCCTCATCTCGTTTCCTTCCCTTCCCATGCAGGTCAACAGGGAGGAACCCTAGCCATAAGCACCTCCTCGGATGACGCCTCTGCTACACCAAGATAGGTCAAGCAACCCCCATCTACTCTCTGTCTCTCCCATTAGCACAAGTCCAGTTTTATTTTGAACAAAATTCTGCTACTACACAAACAAGTCCATTAACAGATCTATTTTTATTTAATTGATATCCTTCCAAACACAAACAGTGTATATATGATGTGCTATTTTCATTTTTGTGCTTTTATTTGTAAGCTCATAAAATAGTTACACTAGAAATGCCATGCAAGTTCTTAGTGAGCGAGTGGATTACACTTGTGTAAACCCAAAAGTGGCAGAGGCGAGTTTCCTCTTAAGCTTTGTAATATTCCTTATTTCTTCTTAACAGAGATATATATGATATCTACATGGCTGCTATGCTACTTTTTTTGTGTGATGAATCATTGTGAGTTTCGAAGAAACTTCCAATGTTACCTCCGCCAAGTTTGCCGGCGGAAGAAGCACATCCATTGAGCCGTTCAATGTCGCCTGCGGTGGCTACACCAGAGGTATGTATCCCCTTGAAAGCTAATCAGTTGATAGAAATAGAAGCCCCTATTTCAGTTTATTGTTTCTGAATTGGTGCTACTTCTGATGGCTCTTGTTTCAGTTTATTGTTTCTGAATTTATACTTTGAATTTAGTAGATAGAAGCCCCTGAAATTTGACCCATCTATGTTATGTCACATCCAACAGATAAAATCATATTTTTGTGTGTGTTATGCACCAAGATGGCTTAGCATCAGATGTTACCTATGACAATTTATACTTTGTTTTGTGGAACAATAACTCCTGCTAGGAGGGCATGGAGGAGTTTCCCCTTGAACTCCATGACCTGATTCTCAGGTTCGTAATTTATCCTATTTTTTGGCTGTTGCTTGCTCCTTTGTTTCTTTGTAGATGTTCTGATTATTGGTGCTTTGGAACTCTTGTGGTCTGTAGATCATTGTTCTACTGACGCTCACTTCACCTGAACGGCTGGACCAGATGATAGTGGATATACCCAGTGTAGTATATTGTTATAAGGTTGTGTATTAGCTTCCAGTGATTTTGCTCTCACTGGTATCTCGATAAAGCTTGAAGTATATGCGGATGTCTTGCTCAGTTTAATTAGTAATAGTATTAGCTTGAAGCGCCATCCATACTCAGTTTCAACTAGACACCTCCATGGATAGCTCCCTTGCCATTATATTGAAGGTTAGTGTTGTTACCTGTTGCTCAACGTTGCACTTTTAGTACTCTAGCTGCTTTGTAGGCGAAATCGCCACCACCTGCAACCATGCCCTCAGGCTTCCCTCAGACCGTCCTTATCAATTGTAGTCTCTGCTCGCCCATGTTAAGTCCCTCCTTTTAGAAAGGGCCTCCCTCGACGGTGGCCTCCCCTGGAAGCTCTTGAACCTACAATGGAGTCGGTTCCCTGTCAGTATGAAATTCTTGCGTTTGGCCGTCAGACTATTAGTTGTAACCATGTTATTCTGTCAAGCTTTTCCATCGAGTTGCCGAAACAATATCAAAGTAGAAGATGTTAAATATGAAAGTACCAAGTTATGTACTCTGCTATTGTGGTTGTGAAGCTCGTACAGTCTGCTTGATGTTCGCACCAAATTTCCTTCAGGCAACAGGATGATGAGTTCAGTGCAAGTCTTCAAATTGCAGGGCTAATCATAGGCAAAGAATTCTGGACTTCTGTGGGTTTTCATGAACGATTTTGAAATGAAGAATAGTTGTTAAGTTATTATTTTTGCTAGAAGAGTAGCGTGGCAAAAAAGAGTATTGCTAGGGAAGTAGCTAGAGTACATGCTACTATTTTTATAGGGAAGAGCCTAAACGACCCAACTTATGCAGTCTACAGATGTTGCTTACGAAATTGGGTATAGAGCCATGCATCTGCAACCATCTATTAGCAACATCAGGTTTGTGTTTGTATCTCCTTTGCCTGCATCATTTCTTGATCATTATGTTATTATTTTGTCATCTTGAATCCTTTTTGTTATAGCCATACATTCTCTTTTGGTTTAAGAAGATAATAATCAAGTTTCACTAAATGCATTTTCTATAGCAGTCAGATTCTCTAATAATTCAATCATACTGCATACTGGTCTGTAATTTCATTTCTTTGGTCATCAATCTACCTTTTCCCTGAGATTGTTTCTCATAGTGAACAACTGATAAAAAGGATTTGTAGGAAATAGACAAGAATGATAAGGTACATACTGATGTTTTCTGTAATTTTCCTGTGTGGTTCAAGAGAAGCGTATTGCAGCAGAAGATTCAAGGGTGATAACGCAACGAAGAAAAAATTTGTGTTGTGGGAGAAGAAATTCTTGCCCCATAGGCTTTTAGTTTAAAAGTTTCCATTACATACAGTTTCACTCTGTTCATATGATACATTGTTATCACTCGGTATTCTGCTCAAGGGGGACTGATACTTCCTCATATGAGAATTCTTATCCTTCTGACTATGTCATGCCTTTTGGTCTGCCCTGGCTTAGGTAGTTTGTGTTGACTCCTTTATTATTCAGTGATTTGCCAGCTATTCATGGATTCAGCAACAGACTGGGTTTGCTTTGTCCCAAGATCATGGATACTTGAATGCCCTTTATTGACCATGTATTTGAGAGGCCACTTCTGATTGCTTTTGTATTTTTATGCATATTTTAAGCTTGTGGAACCCATTTATTTTCTCAAAAATCTCACTTGTGCATGCTAATCTCGGGAACTATATTCAGACATCCCTTGCCCCTCTTATGCGGGTCATTTTGCATTTTGCTTTTGTGTTAGAATAAGTAATTAATATTATGTAATCAGAACCACTTTTTGTTCGTATGAGATTGTCCTGTATGATAACTTGGTAAGGCATGAGAACATTTTTTATATGTCAAAAGTGGTCAATCCGTAGAAGAATGCATGCTCCTAAGCCATGGGAGAAATTAGCAAACAGACAAAAGTTATCATTTGATTTTAGTGCTTTGAATAGGTTCATGCAAAAAGATAAAACTTTCAGATGTACATGGTATCACCCTCACCTCTGATGGCACAAGCGCTCTATTTGATGTTCTTCAGGAGAGGTTCAATATTACATTTAAGGAGAGAACACAGACATGGTGACACTCGATAAAGTGAAGCAATGGCCAGCCTTGCAAGAGAGGGAATAGTCTGGGCCTATCATACAATGTAAATATGTTTTTTTACAAATGAATAAGCTTTGATTTTTTTGTATGAATTTCTATTTCACGTTGTCTAGGGGCTTAGCAAGGTGGACATGACTAATATTATTGTAGAAAGCACTGCAACTTTTGCCTTGAATGAAACAAGGTCTTTGGGTGGATTGTTGTGTGACATTCTCCCGTTGCAACGCACGGGCATTTTTGCTAGTAAAGAAAAAACTGGCTAAGAATAAGATAGAGCCAAGCCAAGTCCGTTCCAAACTGCCAGTAGCACGGAAGACCTACTTCCGCGGCCCTGGACGGGGATCTGCGGGGCGATCATGGCGGATCATGCCAACAAACAACCAGCGACGGCTCACCACCACGGGCTCCCCGATGAGATCGTGATATGGGAGATCCTCGTCCGCCTGCCCCCCAAATCCCTCCTCCGCTGCCGCACCGTCTGCAGCGCCTGGCGCCGCGCCACCTCCGCCCGCAACTTCCTCCTCGCCACCACGCCCGCCAGCCAGCCCTTCCCATCGTCTCCGGCTACGGTTACGGCGGCCACTACTGCCACCGAGACATCATCACCTTCGACCAACGGGCTGCCGACGCCCAGCTCCAACACGTCATCCAGCTTGACGTCGAGGGGTTCTGCCGTCTGGAGGCCTCCTGCGACGGCCTCCTCCTCCTCTCCTGTGACACGCCTGACGTCTCCTGCCTCTACATCTACAACCCGGCCACTCGTCAGTATACTACAGTGCCGGTGCTGCGTGACTCATTCATGGTCTTAGGAATGTACTGGCACCGCCCTACTGGCGAGTACCGGGTACTACTTATGTATGAAAAGGAAATCAGGCTCCGTCCATTCATCGTCCTCCTGGAACATGATACCTGCTGTATCTTCACATTGGGCTCCATCCAGCCGCCCCGGAATATCGGGCGTCCGCCCGAGGCGGAGCAAGTGTGTTCACGCGGTGGGGTGGCTCTCATGTTCCGTGGCAGCCTGCATTGGCACATAGACCAAAATGAGACTGAAAGCAACATGATAGTGGTATTCGACACCACAACTGAGTCGTTCAAGCAAATGCATGCTCCAGTGGCATTGCGGCAAGCTAAACTGTTTGAGATGGATGGCGTGCTCGGCATGTTCGGTCGTAATGATGTTGGTGCTATCATCAATATATGGGAATTGCAGGACTATGAAAACCAGGTCTGGACCTTCAAGTGCAAGATTAAATTACCGGTTAATGAGATCATGGTGCTATGTCGAAATATCAACAGTTCTTGGCATGCGGTGGTCATGCCTGGGGATGGTGAGTTGCTCGTGCTAGTCCAGTACGCCGAGTGGCTACTTCAGCTTGACATGGATGGCAAGTTGGTTGCCAGCTTTCATCAACGGGAAGTCACTCCCACTCAACTGCAGCTCAAACAAACTCTTGTCCCACATACTTTCTTTCCAGATGGTTATGTTGTGAATGCAGTGCCTCAGATCTGAAGGCTGCTGAGTGAGTTGGTGCTTCTTAACATCCTGATGTTTGCATCCTCAAGAGTTGCAAGGTGTATGATGAATTGGATCAACTATGAGGCCCACTAGCGTCTTTGTTGATACATCTAAAGTTATGATCAAGAAGCTCTCACTGTTTTTTGGTTTCGTGCGACCCATACTTCTTTGACCATGTTAACGGAAGTGGTATGTTAATTCTAAAGTAATCAAGTCCTTCTGATGTGCGTTCAAATATGTGCTAATTATTCTACGTGATGTTTTTTTTTCTTGAACTGAAGAATTGTTTTGCTCTTTTAACTAATGGTCTTTTTAGTACTACTTTACTACTCCCTCTGTCCCATAATATAAGAGTGTTTTTGATACTAGTGGTGTCAAAAACGTTCTTATATTATGGGACGGGGGGGAGTACCTAGCACTAGCAGTCTACTTGTATGTTTATTTCTTGATCTGAAGAACTGCTTTTCCCTTTTTTATGTAGGGTCTTTTATTTCCTGAGAGATTATCTATGGTGTTCTCAATACGGAATACTTAATATTTAGCAATCATGTGTTCAATCTTAACAAAATATCAAACTGAAGGAATTTATGCACCCTCTAGTATTCAATCGTATCTTAACATAAGACCAAGCACGGAAACCTTTATTGATAAACCAAAGAACAGTTCGTCAGGTCCCACGCCACGTTCCTCCTGAGACATTGTAACTGCCAGCCGTACTCATTTTTCTCCGCCGGCGTTGGTTGAGGGGAAGCTTTTCAACTCATCTTGTCTCAAGCAGAGGACAAGACCAGGAATTATGATGTGGTTACGTAGTTGTAAAAGCAAGTTGAAAGCTCCCTCTCATCATTTGTGAGTTGTGACTGCATATGCATTATGTGCCAGTGCAGGGGCAGTTGATCAGCTGCTCAAGTTTAGGCTATTCATTTTTCGAATTTTGTGTTCTTAGGTACACTTGTTTGGTTAAAGCTAGTTCATACACAAGCAGGGTACCCAGCAGGGATAGAAAGAATCACAAACAGACGTTCAGCACATATAAACTAATCACATAAATAAACTAATTAAAGGATTGTTTTCATCAGCAGCAGTATATGTACCAACAGAAGAAATAATGTTGCACAAGTAGATGCATATCAGCTTCATTGGGGTAGAAAATTAGTGTAGGCAACAAAGATCATCCACATTGCTCTGAACCAACGGTGCCCAATTGTCATGTGAATGCCGTTTTATCATGGGAATATTAATAACATATGGTTATAACCATTGAAGATGGACACAATTAGCAAGTTGGAATGTGATCACAGAAGATTCACTGTACACCAGCTAATAATTCAGACAAATCACAACACGAGGTTTTCTTCCTTGTCAATCTTCAGACAGGGGTGCAGCTACTGATCATTCCATCGACAGCGGATGTTTGTGCCAACAGAAGAAGAAGAGTGAACGACTAAGTGTATGCTATTGCTATTGCTACCCCCAACTTCATCGTTGAATTACTTTGTATCCCCAAAATTCATAGGCAGCAGCAGAATCTGTTGGCTCGAACTCTAATCAGCAGGATGTTCTCTTTGGGAAGTCACTTGGCTTGAACCCTCAACACAAGGAGCGCATGGGTAGATGATGTCGTAGTGGCCCTTGTACAGAAGGGTCACGCTCACATGGGGTACTCCAGGGCCAGTGTAGATATCTTGAGGAGGCCGTCGAGTGTCGCTCCACTTTGAGGGGCACCTCAAGCGCTCCGCGGCCAGGGCCATCATTCATAACATGGTTCGTGAACTGACAAGATGGAGTGACCTGCTGAAAGCAGCACTCTTTGAAGAGCACAACGGGTCGGGTAAAATATCAATGAAAGGATGTACTGGAAATTCAACACTGAGGTAGGCGAGGTTGATACTGACATCTTTCAGACTGCAATTTTCTCTGAGCCATGCTATATATAAGCGGTTCATACTCAACCCTGTGATAATAATCTGAGGACAGTAAGAACTAACCAATGAAATGCGTCAGAAACGAAACATGAATTATGATGAACAGAAGGAAATATGAGCTAAAGGGTGTTCTCCTCGCTGTCTCCCGTCGTGTTGTAGGTGCTGAAGAACTCAAGAAGTTTCTCTCTACAGTAGCTAAAAAAGGAACATATTATATCAGTGAGATGGAGTGCATTCGGCTACAACAAAGGGTAGAAACAGAAAACACCCCATGTATTGACTATTAAGAAGACCATGAGATAAGAATCTAAAGTCAATTCTTTAGTTCAAGCAAGAGGGACATGAGCCATATAAATTGCTGAAAATTGAGTACTAAGGAGGCCACTAGATAAGTAGAACAAAACAAAGTTCTCACCCATTAAAACTGAGACATAAAGCAGATTAGTTGGCCAATAGTTCAAATGTAGAGCAAAATGTCATGTTAGTTTTAGCATCGACACACACCATAGTCACTTCAGTCTGAAAGGGTACAACATAACAGTCAGATCTTCTGATCACATCTTATACCCTCCCTCCGAGTCTGAAAATACTTGTTGGAGAAATGGATAAAAATTGATATGTATCTAGAACTAAAATACGTCTACATACATCTATTTCTCGTACAAGTATTTTCCGGATGGAGGGAGTACATCAAATGCAAAACAAAGAAAAGACACAGGATTCTAGTTGATCCAATTTATTATGGCAGCTAGTCAGAAAGAAGCACCACTTCCCACAACAGCCATCAGACAAAAGGCCTGGCGGGATCTAGACTGGCCCCACAGATCAATACTAGTCTTTTCTGCGCACTTTGTCCTCACTCGTGCGCACCCGGGAGAAACTTCCCGGTCGGTCACCCATCCTGACACTACTCCAAGCTAAGCACGCTTAACTTTGGAGTTCTGTCCGAATGGGCTCCCGAAAAAGAAGGAATTCCTTATTGATATGAGTAGTCTATCATCCCTAATAATCTAGGCCATCACATACACCCCCACTCAGAGGAACCGACGTCCTCGTCGGGCCACAGGAACGTTCCCTCTTGGCACAAACGTCTGTGCTTCCAGTCCGGTACATGTGCCATGCCGGGTGCCACGACGGGTCACAAATGTCATGAACAACATGACCACACACCTGTTCGCAACCATCCGTGTAACCGCGAGGGTTGGCTCTGATACCAACTTGTAACGCCCCGGACACACCCGCCGGTGGTCGTTACTCCTGACGGGATATAGACTGGCCCCACAGATCAATACTAGTCTTTTCTGCGCACTTTGTCCTCACTCATGCGCACCCGGGAGCAACTTTCCGGTCGGTCACCCATCCCGACACTACTCCAAGCTAAGCACACTTAACTTTGGAGTTTTGTCCGAATGGGCTCCCGAAAAAGAAGGAATTCCTTATTGATATGAGTAGTCTATCATCCCTAATAATCCAGGCCATCACAGACCATGACTGAAACTGGCAACCAATTTGCCATAACTGTCAACTTGAAGTAGCCACTGATCAATTTTGACCAGCAGGAGCATGCCACCATCCATCGAAAGAAAGTCCATACTCCAGTGGCCATTACTCGATTTTCTGCTTCGCTCGAGAATGAAGGTGGGGGCAATGTTAGGTGCATAATGATGAGCGTCGAGGTCAGAACAAGCAAGGACCTCGCCGGAGATGGGGAAGACACTACGAGCAACGTCCCAGGCGGAGGAGAGGAAGCAAGTTAACGGGTGTGGGTACGACTTGCTAGAAAGTCAATTGCTCGGGAGGTTTAGGGAAGCCAGGGTGGTGGTAGCATGGCAGGGGAGGGCGGTGAGGCGATGCTGCCTTGGGGGTGGGGTGGATCGCATGGTTTGGGGAAGAAGATGGAAAATAATTGGCTGGAGGTTAAGGATGACTGAGAACCGTTGGAATTCGACCGTTTGGCTACAACATTTGACTGGTGTTGTAAACATATTCAGTTAACTGATAGACTACTAGTGCAGAAATCTTTATTGGAGAAAGTTACTAGTGGCGGCTCACCAAAGTATCAGGTCATTGATAACCGCCCAAAATACGGGTGGTATGACAACATTTGTACAAGCCACTTAATAACACATTATAAAAGATAAAACCAAGGAAATCAAATTCAAAATTTCATTCTACTAATAAGCAACGGAGCCTAGTTCTAAACCTTTTGGGATTAAGTTTTAGGAAGAGACTTTTTTTCTACAACCGTTTTCTCCCCTCCCCCTTGGCTACTAGGGCAATCTCTCCCCGCCAGGCTTCGCTAATGAACCTGTTGATTCACCTCCCATCTCTCTGCCGCTCTGGAGGCCGCTGGCGGTGAGGAGAATCCTGGTGCCTTCGCTCCGGCAAATAATTTAGATTAGATTTTTTAGTTCTTCGAGTTGCTCTACTGGCCTCCGATCCTCCTCGAGTCATTCTGTTGGGGAACATAGTAATTTCAAAAAAAATCCTACGCACACGCAAGATCATGGTGATGCATAGCAACGAGAGGGGAGAGTGTGATCTACGTACCCTCGTAGACCGACAGCAGAAGCGTTAGCACAACGCGGTTGATGTAGTCGTACATCTTCACGGCCTAACCGATCAAGCACCGAAACTACGGCACCTCCGAGTTCTAGCACACGTTCAGCTCGATGACGATCCCCGGACTCCGATCCAGCAAAGTGTCAGGGAAGAGTTCCGTCAGCACGACGGCGTGGTGACGATCTTGATGTTCTACCGTCGCAGGGCTTCGCCTAAGCACCGCTACAATATTATCGAGGACTATGGTGGAGGGGGGCACCGCACACGGCTAAGAGAACGATCTTGGAGATCAACTTGTGTGTCTAGAGGTACCCCCTGCCCCCGTATATAAAGGAGCAAGGGGGAGGAGGCCGGCCCTAGGAGGAGCGCGCCAGGGAGTAGGATTCCTACTCCTAGTTGGAGTAGGTTTCCTCCTTTCCTAGTCCAACTAGGAGAAGGGGGGAAAGGGGGAAGAGGGGAAGGAAGGGAGAGAGGGGCCACGCCCCAAACCCCTTTTCCAATTCGGACTGGGCTTGGGAGGGGCGCGCGCCACCTCCTGGTCCTTCCCACTAAGGCCCATTAAGGCCCATTGCTTCTTTCTTGTATTCCCGTAACTCCCCGGTACCTCCGAAAATACCCGAATTACTCAATAACCAATAGCGGAACCTGGATGCTCATATTGGCTCCCACATATTCTACGAAGATCTTTATCGGTTAGACCGCATAACAACATACGTTGTTCCCTTTGTCATCGGTATGTTACTTGCCCGAGATTCGATCGTCAGTATCTCAATACCTAGTTAAATCTCGTTACCGGCAAGTCTCTTTACTCGTTTCGTAATACATCATCTCGCAACTAACTCATTAGTTGCAATGCTTGCAAGGCTTATGTGATGTGCATTACCGAGAGGGCCCAGAGATACCTCTCCGACAATCGGAGTGACAAATCCTAATCTTGAAATACGCCAACCCAACATGTACCTTTGGAGACACCTGTAGAGCTCCTTTATAATCACCCAGTTACGTTGTGACGTTTGGTAGCACACAAAGTGTTCCTCCGGCAAACGGGAGTTGCATAATCTCATAGTCATAGGAACATGTATAAGTCATGAAGAAAGCAATAGCAACATACTAAACGATCGGGTGCTAAGCTAATGGAATGGGTCATGTCAATCACATCATTCTGCTAATGATGTGATCCCGTTAATCAAATGACAACACATGTCTACGGTTAGGAAACATAACCATATTCGATTAACGAGCTAGTCAAGTAGAGGCATACTAGTGACACTTTGTTTGTCTATGTATTCACACATGTATTATGTTTCCGGTTAATACAATTCTAGCATGAATAATAAACATTTATCATGAAATAAGGAAAAAATAATAACTTTATTATTGCCTCTAGGGCATATTTCCTTCAGTCTCCCACTTGTACTAGAGTCAATAATCTAGTTCGCACCGCCATGTGATTCAACACTAATAATTCACATCACCATGTGATTAACACACATAGTTCACATCGTCATGTGACCTATACCCAAAGGGTTTACTAGAGTCAGTAATCTAGTTCACATTGTTTATGTGATTAACACCCAAAGAGTACTAAGATGTGATCATGTTTTGCTTGTGAGAGAAGTTTAGTCAACGGGTCTGCCACATTCAGATCCATAAGTATTTTGCAAATTTCTATGTCAACAATGCTCTGCATGGAGCTACTCTAACTAATTGCTCCCACTTTCAATATGTATCTAGATCGAGACTTAGAGTCATCTAGATCAGTGTCAAAATTTGCATCGACGTAACCCTTTACGACGAACCTTTTTGTCATGTCCATAATCGAGAAACATATCCTTATTCCACTAAGGATAATTTTGACCGCTGTCCAGTGATCTACTCCTAGATCACTATTGTACTCCCTTACCAAAAACAGTGTAAGGTATACAATAGATCTGGTACACAGCATGACATACTTTATAGAATCTATGGCTGGGGCATAGGGAATGACTTTCATTCTCTTTCTATCTTCTGCCGTGGTCGGGCTTTGAGTCTTACTCAATTTCACACCTTGTAACACAGGCAAGAACTCTTTCTTTGACTGTTCCATTTTGAACTACTTCAAAATCTTGTCAAGGTATGTACTCATTGAAAAACTTATCAAGCGTCTTGATCTATCTCTATAGATCTCGATGCTCAATATGTAAGCAACTTCACCGAGGTCTTTCTTTGAAAAACTCCTTTCAAACATTCCTTTATGCTTTGCAGAATAATTCTACATTATCTCC